GTAGTGCCTAAGGCATTTGACTGCTAACCAGAAGGCTGGCAGTTCAAACCCACCAGCCACTCCTCAGAAGGAAGGTTGGGCAATCTACTTCCGTAGTGATTCTGCCTTGGAAACCCAAGAAGGCTCGCTGTGAGTTGGATACAACTCGATGGCAGTGAGTTTGGTTTTTGGAAGGAAGGTTGGGCAATCCTACTTCCGTAGTGATACTGCTTGGAAACCCAAGGAGGGGTCGCTATGAGTCAGGGCTGACTCGACGGCATATAACAACAACAACAACAACAACAACATGTTTAGATGAGAGGAGATAAATAGAAGTATGTGAATAAAGGATTGGTGTGAGGAGATAAGTACATGAAAAAGGAATTAGGCTTGGCCTGTACTTAATAAACATCAGTACTAGATTCAAATTTAATGAAAGTCTGCAGAGCACCAACTATATGTAAGGCACTGCAATACATTGTATTTATATTTATAATGATAATTGAAGGTATTATTATTATTTCCCCCTTATAGAGGTAAGCAAATTCATACCTAGAGCAGTTTTATAGCTTGTGCAAGGTTACACAGCTAGGAAGTTGTAGAACTGGACTTTGACACTGCCACTCAGGAATGCAAATCTAGTGGCATTTCTACCTAACACCACAGCTACCTATTAATTTTATAGGGAGACAAATTTTGATTCAACATAAGGACTAGTAGGACTAGTCAAAGATGAATACCATTGTGAGAGTGGTTCCCTATCAGTGGGATCCCTGTGTTCAAGGCTATGCTGGATAGCTGCTTTGCAAGGATCTGGTAGTCTCCTCAACTTATACATACATAAAAAAAGAATAATCAGTAACAAAGTATTAAACATAAATGCTAATCATACAGCCGAAGCAAGCCCAGAAGCCCTGGCAGATTTAAGCAACTGAACTAAGTTCATTCAGTAACTATTAGAATATACAACACCTAAACTTTGTTCTCTGGATTCACAGTCTAATGCTTTTTCTATTATACAGTTATCCCTCATATATAACTAGGTAATACAGAGGATATGAAAAGAGGAAAGGCAGAGATGTTTTGTGAATTACTGTAATTGGGTTTGGGGCATGCTCTTGCTTTATTAAGATAAACAAAGAATGTGAGTAGTAGCAGAACATGGTTTAAAATGACAAGCAAAGAATGCTACTCAGCAGAGAGAGAAACAACAGAGAAAGAAAAATAACTATAGAGTTGACGAAAAGGAGGAAGTAGCCATTATCAGAGGGCCATTTGTGGATTAAATTTGCACTGTAAAAAGGAAGGCAGGAAATGTAGATTGCATTGTGTGTTAGACTGGGTTCTCTAGAGAAACAAAACCAGTAAAGCTTATATATATAGAGAGAGAGAGAGAGAGAGAAATTTATCTTAAGAAAATGGCTCACACACTTATAGAAGCTGGCAAGTCCAAAGTTCTTGGATCAAACATCAAGCTGGAGGCTTTTCTGGACTCTTGCGGCTGCAGGGGCTGAGGAGCTCAAGGTTGGCAGGCAGGGTACTGGCTGTTGACTCCAGCGAATGACGAATCCAAGATCTCCAGGCCGAATGGTGGATTGTTCGCTCACGGACAGTTGTAGGCAGCACAACAGAATCCCGATCCACAGAGGAATGTCTCTTTTCCCAGGATATCCATAGATATACTGGAAGCAGGCCACATCCCTAGAGAAACTCCCTTTCAACAGATTGGCTGCTCAAAACATAATCATCTGATCCCATCATTGGAATGACCACATCACAACTTAAACCACACAGAATTGTGGTCCAGCCAACATGACACACACCTCCAACTATCACACATTGCATTTCCTTCTTAATAAGTAGATGGTCGGTATCTTTCGTAATGAATAATGACTATCTCATTTCAACAAAAATGAAAGAGGATCTTCTTTTTGCTGAGTACTGTGCTATGTTTTGGAGAACCAAAGAAAATCCCTATCTTTTCAACAAGCTCACAGAAAAGAAATAGGAAAAAAAGTAAATGCTAAGAATTATCATAGAGAAGAGATAAAAATTTCAATAAAAGCAAAGACAAAATAGTATTTAATGTAAATGTGTGGGATGAGAATGTAGATGTGGCGGAAGAAGGTAATGACAGGGAAGACCCCAAAGAGGAGGTAACGCTAGATCTTAAATAACAATGAAGAGGTTACCTGGTGAAATGAGGATGAATTTCAGATGGGAAAAAATAGGCCATGACAAAACCTGTTTGAATCTGTGTGTGATGTGGAGAGGGCTCTAAACTGGTTTTAACCAGTTCAGTCTCGGCTGATGAAGTGAAATTGGAACAGACCCAAATTTTTTAAATTTGGGTGAAATGGAAACATAACTGGAATGGGAAAAATTACACGCCAAGACCCTGGAACAGGAAACTCAGAGGAGGTGTAGTGAGCCCTTTCAGGAGCCTGATGTGGGAGACTGGATTATTGCCAGGATTGTGGAGAGGGACACACATTCAAAGAGATGTTGTTGGCCTCTTTGAGCGAGGCCTCATTGTTTCCGACTCTGCCAATCAAGAGATTTGGTTGCTAGGTGATGCTAAAATGCTCGTGTTTCCTGAGGGAGATTATGTTTCTAGCAAGGTGTTGACCCATCACCTTTCCTGTTCTAGTTATGGCTTACCCACATTTTACAAATTCGAGTCTGTCCCGGATTCAGTTCACGGGCCATGACTGAAGCGGGAAGAACCAGTTTGAAGTCTTGGATGTAGATGTGGTAGGACTTAGAGCTGGCGCTGGAGTTGAAGAGGTAGCGGAATCTGATTTTCAACGGCCTGTGTACCATGGTAACTAACTTAGATGATTGTCCAAGAGCAGAATCTTGGAAGGATTTTAAAGAGGAAGTTACCATGTTCAACTCTGTTTTGGGACATCTTTTGGCAGTCATATGGTGAATTGCTGTTAGTTGCCGTGAAGTTAATTGGGACTTATACGGATCCCATGTATGCAGAGTAGAATTGCTCTGTAGGGTTTTCAAGGCTGTGACCTTTTGGAAACAGATTGCCAGGCCTGTCTTGAGGTGCCTCTGGGTGGGTTGGAACAGGAATCAACTGCTTAATCATTTGCACTACTCAGGGATTCCTGTTGAGCAGGGAGAAGTGAGGACAGAAGCAGGAGTGACATTACAAAGGCTTGAACTAAACAGTACCAAAGAGGTTTAAATAGTGGAGACAGATAATTTGTCATAGAACAAACAGGAAGACTCCATTCATGGGATTTTAAATCAGAGAATCTTAACAGTTGTCTAGTTGCTGGATTGGCAAGATTTTACCAATGGAATTAGGTAATACTGAAGTGAGCTAGGGAGCTGTCGTGGCATGGTGCCTAAGGCATTATTTGACTGGAGCTCTGGTAGCATAGTGGCTAAGGCACTTGACT